TCCTTCCGGTGGCCGGATGAGGCAGCGGCTCTGTTTCCCCTGTTTCAGGGGAGAGCTGGGGCCCTCTCGTGCGGTGATACCAGTGCGTGTGACCCAGCCCAGCTTGGCTCCGCGAGGCGTGCCAGCTCTGTGGTGAATCGAAAGAGTCAGGGCTGAGCCTCAGCGTTTCCTCTCGCACGGTCACTGCTCTTTTTCTTTAGAAATAGACGCGAGTAAGGGAAGGTGCAGGCTGCAGCTGCTTGTGTTTCTTGAGAGACGGCTTGCATGGCTGAGAAATGAGCACGAAGACGAGCAACGGCAGGCAGGGCTGTTTCTGTGCTCCCAGACACATCTCTTCACCTAGCTTGGCTTGGTTGGGGTTGTGTAACGAACAGGGAAAGGGTAGCTGTTAAGGAAATCCTAATTCATGTACTGTGTTTCTGTGTGCTGAGCCGTGTTTCCTGTTTTGGAGGACAAATGCTTCTATCAACTTACGTGATTTATCCAGGTTCCCAAATAGGAGCTATTGATGCTTTAATGCTATTCAAATATAATTGTCTTTTTTTAAGTATTTTGCCAACGTCTCCACACCTTTATTGTGTTAACATTAATGCTAGTTTTTATACACTGTTCTCATACATAATGGTTCACTTAGCAAATAAAGCAAGATAGCTGTATAACTTTATTAAGAAAAAAAAAGATTCTGAAATCCATAGTACCTGAGGAGTGTTCTTTCAAACTAGGTTTGGGTTGCAAAACTTGGCAAGCATTGTGGTGTTAAAGAGCTGTTGTTCAGAGGATGAGTGTTGGATTTCAGACATTGTGGTCTCTGCTACAGTGACCTTGAGTTCCAGTCTAGATTTGAAAATGAGTTCAAAATGAGTGCACCTTTCTCTTATCTGGCTTAGCCTACCACATAATGAAATGTTAACTTTTTTATTGCTAAGTTGCTTTCTAGTTTAATAACAAAACTATGCTGAAATTGAAGTGGCAGAGCATAATACATTCAAAGTTATAAGCTGATTGTAATTTGTAGTTGCCAAAGGTTTTGGGGAAGCGGGGGGTACAGTCTTGGGTGTCTCACATGTGGCACATAACTGTTCCCTGGTAAGTTAGTTATATGGTTACAATGTTAACACCTGAATGCCTGTTTTAAATTGGAGTACTAAATATTCTTATCTTGTTATCATTATTATTCTAAGGAAAATTTAAGTCAACCTCTGTTTTGTTTGTTTTGTTCTTTTAAGGGATACTTCCAGCCCCCCATCAAGTGCACTATCTCAGTTCCTGTCAAAGTATTTAAAGTGCTGCATGTACACCCCCCCCACACACACTTGAAACACCTCAGATGTTTCAGTAAAAACATGGTATTTACAAAGGAAATCTAACAAAACAAAGACCTAAGCAATGTGGCATTTTTAACATGGGAATGACAATTGCAGAAAGTAGGACTTGAGGATGGGGCTTAGCCCCTATCTTGGAAGTTGGTCCTTTCTTTGATAAGATACAAGTGGTTGAAAACACTGAAAGCAGGGCAGCAGTTTATATTGGGATAGATTTCAATGAAGGGATTTCAGATTATGGAAAGATACAGTATTCTCTGCACAAAAAAAATTGAAGATAGTGTCTGTTAAAAACTGTAAGATAAGTGTTGTCTTCTGCTTTTTGCACTTATGCAAATTTTGCATATGCAAATTAATGTTTATTGCTTTAAGATAAAACTGTACAAATACAGAAAGGTGCTTTTAGTGAAATTAAGATTTAAGCCTGTAATACAACTAATTTTCAAAGGTATTTTAATATCTCTTTGTTTCTAAACCAGTTTCATATAATTCTCGTGGAGAAACATGTGATTCTGGAGCAGGTTCAGTTACAGTTTTATCATCAGACCAGCAGCAGGGATGTGGTCTGGAAGGGACAGGAGCTGGTGTTTAGTCTTTTGAGTTTCTTGTTGTGGGAAGGACATGAACCGGAGGAGGTTTCTGGATTCCATTGAACTCTGGCTGTACAGCCAGTCTAGCTTTAATATTTCGTTGCTCAATTGAGCGATGAAACCCCAGGAAGATTCTGTAATCTGGAGTAAAGGGAACTTCCGAGGTTCCTGCTGTAAGGGAAATCATGGGAGATTTGTGCATATGATTTGTATAAGGCTTTCATGGAAATTTAAAGAATATTCCTCCAAGACATGCTCTTGTATTTTTAGTTTCTGTGGGTTTGTCCTTTATATTTGTTGAGGGGTTTTAGTTTTAATAGACTGCATGCATGTTAGAGTTCTTAATGTAAATAAAAATGAAGATTGATTAAAACAAAAGAGAAAACCAAAGTATCTGAAGTGTTTTCCATTTAAATGGTTTCTCAACAAAAAATATTTTCATTGTTTAATATGCCAAATTTAATTTTTTTTTCTTGTCACCTCGTCATTGTCATCAAGATTTTAGGACCAGTAGTATTACCTTCTTTTACCTAGTTCCTATACATAAATTTCATGTGGGAAATGAGCTTTACTGCTCCTCCAGCTCCTAGTCACTTTCTTGGCAATTAACAAATTGGCTATAACCTGAACTGGGTGAATAACCTGAAACGAAGGAAATAAATTCTGTAGGTGTGTACTTTTAAATCTCTCCAAAGTCCTAACAGTCTGCTTTTCTTTAGCCACATGTGGAGAGCAGATTGCCAATAGCCACACATGGCAGGGAAGAAAAGTTAAAAAAGAACGAGAGCATTGGTTGCAGAAAACATTTGTTACTGGGAAGTAGAGATCTAAACCATTTCATTTTCATGTGGTGGTGATTTGGAAGAGGACAGAATCCATTGTCCTGATTGTTGCAGAGCCCCTGTGTAATTTGGTCAGGCCATTGACAATTTTTACAATGTTTTCAAAAATAACATTTTTACATGAAAAATATCTCCTTTGAGGAAATAAAGTAGTATGCATATTGTGGGTTTTTTTCCCATCAAATTGATGGGAAGATTGTATTCTATAGCTTGCAGTGTAATACGTCTGAAGAATATATGGCATTCTGGGTGAGTGGGAGGGCAGGAAGTTTGCCAGAATGAAATGGTTGGGTCATTTTACGGAGTAAAACATTAATGTCGATTTTTGTCTTTGGTATTTTTTTCTCTTCCATTGTTAGCAAGAAGGCTCATTGTGTGCTCAGCACTGTCTGAATAATTTGCTACAAGGGGAGTATTTTAGTCCTGTTGAGTTATCCTCTATTGCACAGCAGTTGGATGAGGAAGAAAGAATGAGAATGGCAGAGGGAGGAGTGTCTAGTGAAGAATATAGAACATTTTTACAGGTAAAATCATCTTAATTTGAGGTTGCTCGATATTTGCCTGAAATCTAATACTGTGTAGCACAGACCTGCTATTCTTGCATAGCTAGAGAAGGTTAATTTACTAGTGCTAAAACTTCTTAAATTTATGGGCCTTTTCATTTATACATCTTAAATTTGGCATTTTCAAATGTTACTTACACAGCTTTACAATAATTCTACAAAAAGCTACATTATCTTCATCTTACAGGTAGGAAAGTCAGGCATGGTGAGGAGGAGGATCAGCGATTTGCCTTTTGTTTTTGTAAGCCAGTGGCAGAGATAGGAACAGAAGTTCCCATGCTTCTCTGTTCTCTAAGCACTAAGCATTTCTAATTTAAAGGTTTGATTTTTTAATTAATCAGCCTTACAGACTAGGACATATTGAGTTGTTGCTTTAAGTATGTATGGTTATATTTATTTTCAAAACTGAATTATTTCTGACCTTTTATGCTTACACCATTTTTCCCTTTTTTCCCTCCCAACTTCACACTGAGCAGCAGCCTTCTGTAAATATGGATGATAGTGGATTCTTCTCAATTCAAGTAAGCATGGCTCTCTACTGACAGAATTTTTTATTTATGCAATATATGTTCACTCATATAATTTAAATGGTATTGAGCTTTTCCATCTAGTTTCCAGTTGATAGGCTTAATGGAATTAAGTGCTGGACTTGTAAATCTTCAGAGTGTTTTCCATAAAGAGCAGTGACTTGCAGTTCTTCTGTTCATGGGCCTTTAAACACATAGTAGAAGCATGGACTCCAGAACTGTGAAATGACACCTGCTGGCAATAAGCTTGATTTCTGTGTTGCTTCTCATGGGCACTTTGGCTGTAGACCTTGGCTCCCATAGTCTACAGGTGAAAGAGCAGACTTGAGATTGTTTTCTCAAATTATAGACTGTAAAGTCCTTGGCAATGGTTACAGGGTTATCACAGTGATCTGCAGAATGGAAAAAGCTGCAATATCTGCATTCCAGTTTTTATAACACACTCCAGACACTTCAGAGCTGGGTCTTTTATTTTTTTTTTCTTAAGGACCATAACAGAAAAGTAAGTAATAATAAATACTTAAGCCAGAACAACAAAAAAGGTATTGAACACCGAACTGGGGCTTGTGTCTAGACTAGAACTATATGCAATGCTCTGCACCTTTGGCTGTCTGCCGAGCTTTCAGAGGTGCTTGTCAATGTTCCAGAATCCCTCGAGAGCCTTTCTTCCTTATGGCAGCACAGGGCTGTTTTTCTATTCATTGAAAAACCATTAACAGTTTGGTGTTTCTTGTATTCTTGATTCAATATTCAATTCACAGTTAAATTGTGCTGCTTTAATATTGAAGCTGAAAAAAATGCTTCTTCATACTCTACTTTTTTGTCCTGTCATTGCTTTGCTCACTTGCTATGTAGTTGGCTCGCTGAAAGGAATATGAATTGTTAATTTAAAATTTTTTACAGCATTATTTCAGATAGCTTTAAAGAGTTATTGTAAAAGAGTTTGTGCTAATGTACCTGACTGATCCTGTGACAATCCAGTGGTGCAAAACTTCCAATAGTTACTGTGGGGAAGGATGACATTGTATTGCAGGAGGAGGGAGGGCAGAGCAGTACATGGAGAGCAGAGAGATGACAACTTAGGAAGTGTCCGTGGGAGGTGAAGTTACAGCTTTGTTGGGGGAAGTAAGCTTACTAACACATCATTTGTTACTTCCCCTTAGATACGGTACCCGTGTTATGTTTGCGTGTACATTCATGGCAGTTCTGTTTTGAATAATGTGATTCCTACGTTTCCTAGCAATGTTTTGAAATTAAGTTTTATGAAAACAGTAGAATTGTTTTATAGCAGCTAAGATGGTTGCATTGCTTAAGTTTAGATTTGACTGGCTTGACTTATGAAAAGTGCTGTTTTTTGACAGGTTATAAGCAATGCCTTGAAAGTTTGGGGTTTAGAACTAATCCTCTTCAACAGCCCAGAGTATCAGAGGCTTGGGATCGACCCTATGTAAGACTTTTTTCCTTAGCACCCTGCTTTCATTTTACAGAAGAATAATACTCTCGATCTATCATTTAAATCTTTCTTTAAAATTACTATTTCAAGCTCTGTTGCGTTCTGATGTTATTATACCCTCTGTCTTTAATTTTTTCCCTTTGGGGGTGTACATGAGCATCTGTCCTTTGTGCCTTCATGGTATTTCAGTATCTGTGGCATCCTAGGTATACGGAGATGTCAGTAATGTTGACAACTTCCTAAATTTTATAAAAGCAGTACGAGTACTGTTGTTGTATCAGTTGTATCACTGAAATTTTATTATATAAGTTTAAATTAATGGTAGCAAAGAACGTAAACATTAATATGCACTCCAATATTAGAATATTTAATTTTATCTATACTGTTTGTTTTTCTTTTTACAGAAATGAAAAATCATTTATTTGTAATTATAAGGAACACTGGTTTACAGTTCGAAAGTTAGGAAAACAGGTGACATTGTCTTTTTTATTTAAAAAATTACTTCAGAATGGGGGTGGAAAACTGGTTGCACGTAGACCACGTGTTGGCCTTTTGGGAGCTTTTGCTGCAGCTTGCTTTAATCCCATATGGAAAAAAAAAAATTGTTATAAAAACCTGCCTGGCATTTTTGTGATATGAATGTTAGCCTGGGGAAGGACCTGAGGATCAGTTCCTCAGTGAACCTGTCCTCTGGTGAGCTGCAGCTCTGGTCGAGTCTGTGTGACATCTTAAGCTCTTTTCTTTCTTTTCTGCATGAAAAATAGCAGAAAAATTGTGCAGCGGGGGGAGGGGAGAGTCCTAGACGAGGATCAGGATCCCTATAGAATGCAAACTTATTTTAATGCACTAAATTATTGACATTGTAAAAATAATTTTGCTCATTTAAATGGACAGTAGGTATGAAAAAAAGTTCAAGTGTATTAATATTTATGATTGCTATTATTTAAGAGTATCCATCAGAATAAAGTTGGGGAAAGTAGAATCACAACTTTGCACTATTTTAGAAAACTTTCTGAAAAAATTGTTATTATAAGCATGAAATAGCTATTAAAGGTAAGGGATGGCCATACAAGTATATTGTACATATACAGTAACTCAAGTAACATCCATGTGCCTCATAACACCAATGCGGTGTTTTATTTCAGTAGCCAATCATTGTTCTGGATCATACTGCATAAGCATTTATATGACATAAGCTGGTTTGGTGTTGTGGTTTTTTTCAGGGTTTTTTGTTATAGAAAATGTTCATGAAATAAGCTTTTAGATTCTACAATAGTGGACCCTTTGGGTTCTCTTTACCCATTTGGTTCATTTTGCAAGTGGTGACTACCTATGTTGTCATCCAGATTAAAATAAAAAAAAAAAAAATTTAAAAAATTCACCTGTGAGTAAACAAACTAAACTCTGCTGTTCTGCTTTAGTTTAAAAGTATGGCTAATGTTTACAGGCAGTTTTTGTGTATTTGATACTGAAAAGGCTGAATGGTGTCTTAAAAGTATGGAAATGGTCCTTATTATATATACAACCACATTGGGTGGAATTTTGTGAGACAGCATTCTAGCCTAAAATGTTTTCAGTTGGAGGGGGGGATGTCTTTTGCTTGTACATGTGGCTTCTAACCACATAAAGACAATATTAGATACCTGTTATTTAGAGAGTAATGAGAAAAGATAGACAAAATAGGTTGCCTTAGATTTGACCTGCTTCTCTTACAGTTAAAGCAAAAGTAGTTTACCAAACCTCCTTCCTCCATACTGCCTTTAAAAAGTTTGTCTGTAATCTGTCTATTGTATTTGCTTATCTAACTTTTTACTCCTCACTCCTACATTGTTGGTCCTCTTGCCCTTTCCTAGTGGCAAAGGGTGTTTTTTTGACAAATTAAGTGACTGAATGACAGAATGGTAGATAGTCATTTATCTATATTCCAGATAAATTATAGTATGGGCCTGACTGCAAGTGTATGACTACATATATGGAAGTTTGGGTAGATGAATGCATTTTTGAGAATGGAGATAGAATTCTCCTCCTGCTATCTGAAATGGTGGTTCCTGGTTAAAACTCTATCATATTGAATGAGTATGATGTAAAAAAGTTGCTTCAGATTAATTGCAATATATATGAGGTTTTAAAGGTAGAATATTTTGTCATCCATGTTGAATATATTTTCTCTGTAGAAGAAGTATTATAAATGACTAGTCGTCGTCTCCAGGGAACTAGAAAATGATCTGCGTATATTTATCTCAGGTGTCCCCTGTTGTAATATTATGCTGTACTATAAGCATATTAAATTTAAGTTCATTTTTCTTAATTTTTAAATTTAAAAATTATTTCAGAGAGAAGTACAAAATTAGTTTTCAGCATCACCAGTTATTAAAGGCAGAATGTTTAATGAAAGTATTTAATGGAAAGAATTCAACTTCTGTTTCCTGTATCTATTAATTTCTTAAGATACAGCCTTAACTTATGAAGGGTTTCTTTCTTCATTAGTCTCTGAACAGATTTAAAACTAGAATTAAGCAGAATTTTAGAATTACATCTGAAGTAATTCTTCTACCATTATATTTTGATTTATCTATTTTAGTCTATTTGCCTGGTACCAGTGTTCAGTAATAGGAGAGAGCATGCAGTAATTTCCCCACTTCAGATCTTCTGTTAGCTGAAGAGTATTTGAAGGGTAACCTTTAGCAGTATAGGTACTGTGCTTCAAAAGACTTTTGATTTCATTTATTTTACTAGATTTATTCAGATATTCCATCATAGAAAATGACCACAATGTACAGAAATGGATTACCAAGTAATCTTTATGCTAATTTGTTCTCTCAACCCTTTTTTTTCTTAATTACAGTGGTTTAACTTGAACTCTCTCTTGATGGGTCCAGAACTAATATCAGATACATATCTTGCACTTTTCTTGGCTCAATTACAACAGGAAGGTAATAGTAACTTGCAGATGTTAAATCTCATTAATTAAAAGTAGGTAATAATCATTATTTGTTAGAACTTATGTATTCAGTTAACTACCCTTAGTTTTATGATTGAAATAGTGAAATAACCCAAGTCCTTATAATGAAAGGTAGAGCCTTACATTGTAATAAATTGCACATCATTGTGTTCCATATAGTGTGCATTTTAGAGTGTTTATGCATGCACCTTAATGCTGTAGACTTACGATTTATTTTTCTCAGGTTATTCCATATTTGTAGTAAAAGGTGACCTGCCAGACTGTGAGGCTGATCAGCTATTGCAGATGATTCGGGTACAGCAGATGCAGCGACCAAAACTAATTGGAGAAGAGACAGCACAGTCAAGAGATCAGAGGTAAGGTAAATGGAGACTTCATTTTAATAATGTTCAGTGTGATTGGTTTCCATGATTAATGCCTACATGGAGACAATCCCCTTAAGAAGTAATTGGAAGTACCTTTAGTACAATACACTTACTACTGTTGCACACAGTAAAAGCAAGTTTGTAGAATACAAATAGTGTATTTTTAAGTGGGCAAAAGCTACCTTAATAAGGATTCAGTCTTTCCATGTGCGCAAGTGTTGTAGTGCAGACTTTTAATTTCATAATTATGATATTTTTCCAATTATAGTAAAATGGGTTAGCAAATCTTACCAAACTATGGTTAATAGTAATCAATCTATAATTAAGACTGACTTGTGCATTCTGTCATAAGTAGAATGAACAAAAAATCCATATCTGAATTCTACATCATATAAATCATACAGCATTGCTTTTTGGAATAATTTCACTATAAATGTTGTGGTGCTGCTCTGTTGTGATGCGTACTACTAATATAAAACATCCTTGAAAGCATACTACTGCAATAATATTATCACATTTTCATAGTGAATAAATTGAATACTGATAAAAAGGCTTAAGGCTTTTCAAAGGAATTAATTCATTATTATTTCTTCCACTTTGTAAAGGTAAACTGGTGTTGTAAATTGATGGAATAAAAAAAACCTACTTTGCAGTAAAATGGAGAGAGTGTATAGTTTACAAGGATCTGTTGCTCTAGTGTGGTCATCAGAGCTTACTGAGAAGGAGACCACATGCACTATTGTCTGCTGGTGTAGCTGTTTAAATAGCAGTAAGTTCAAATAACATGTATTACTGCTTTTTGTAGGCTTACTGTTTTTGAAGTTTTACCTATAGAACAGATTCTTGTAAACATGTGCATAGGCTTAGGGTTGCAATATTTTCATTTTTATAGGTGCAAGCTCTGCTTGCAGCCCATTTATGCTTTTTCATGTAGAAATGAAAATATTTGTTTATATAACAGATTTTCACAATAGAAATTTATTTCCAGTGTTTTAAAAAAAAAGTAGAGTTAAATCAGCAGAAAATATTTACTTTAAATCTCACAGTAAACGTTAACACAATTTTTGTCTGAATTCTGCCATAAACATATCAATTTTCACAGGCTACCCAGAAGTGATGCGGACCAAGCAATAGAAGTTAACCATGCTTTTGATGGAACTGGCATGTTAGATGAAGATGAAGAAAATTTTCAGAGAGCCCTGGCTCTAAGTAGGCAGGAAATTGATATGGAAGATGAAGAGGCTGATCTTCGCAGAGCCATTCAACTCAGCATGCAAGGTGCAGTGCTTATCTAAACAGTGTTCATCTTGCTTATGCTTTAGGCAGCTACTGAAATCAGTTTGTCAGCCACTTTTTCCAGCATCTATCAAGCTCTCTGAAAAGGCTAGCTTTGAGGCATGGTAGGACAATCCAGAATTTCTTGTAGCTATCTCTTTTCTGCTTTTTGAAAAGTTGTAACTTTCATGTTAGCATTGATCATTAGGAAGCAAGAAAAAATTGGTAAAGGGTGGCAGGAGGGAAGGGCAAGAGTCCTAAGGTGAGGAGGAGAGATAGTATCAGGTGAAGTTAGCCTAGGTACTTATTTCTCCAACAAGTCTCTTTCTTTCTTTCAAGTTTGAAGATATTTTCTTAAGCTATATTTCATCTACTAACTTCATTTTACTGTAATTAGTAGGATATGGCATGTTCTGGTTCTAGGTAGTCATCGAAGTGAGTTCTCGGATTCATTACCACAAAATGTTCTTCAGTCGCCTCACACCAGTCAGACAGACTCCCTTTCTTCAGAAGAACTGCGAAGGAGAAGACAAGCATATTTTGAAAAGTAAAGTAGTTGACAGAAAGCTGCATGTGGAAGTACATGTCATTTTTCAGTGATTTTGGGGTGTGGATGGGTTTCTGACTGAGGTCCAGCTTAACTTCTCTTTTTTAACATGTTTTCCTAACAGTAACTGAATTTTACTATTCCCAGTTGGTTCCTATGAAGAAACCTGTAAATACGAGGGGATCTGTTAGTAATGAGACATCAGTCTTGTGAAAAAAGAAGGCATACATGTTACAGAAGTATTTCAAATGAAATCTTGTAAATTTCTGTAATTATCTTCCTGAAGAAAACTATTCTTTCTCTAAGACTTGCTTCTGGTAATGACGCCTCTAATGGCCATCACATGAAAGCATTCTAGATTATATTTTATGTTGCTGTTCTGGAGTATATTCTTAATACATAGTTGAAGTATTGTAGCTTTTCCTTATCTATGTGTCCTAGTGATGGAGGAAATAAAGACCAGGGAGAAATGCTTTGGAGAAATGCAGGGAGAAATTATTTTGGAGTTAGACTTTGCATGAGCAGATAAGAATACAGAACATCAGAATTCTGGGAAAACAGTAATGTGGCTTGGAGTATAATGTTGGGAAGATAGGTGTCTGAAGGTTAGCGGCATGAAACAATTGAAGAGATTTAGGTGCAGGGTTGTTATTGTACCGAACAGCTTCTACTTCTCACTCCTGGCCTTCCTTACAATGAAATGAACTTGATACAGATCTCACACTGATGTTAATCTTATTCTCTTATAAATTTATAACACTTTCAGGCAACAACAACAAGAGCAGCAAGATCAGACCCCAAACCTACATGATAAGCCAACTCTAAGCTCAAGCACTCTGGAAGCTGACCCAGGTATTGTTTTTTAAACTTATTTCAAGCACTGAAATATGTCTTTTTCACATTTGTATTGTGCTGTTTCCTGACTTTCCTTACCTGCATACTTCCTCACTCCAGCAGCTGTTCAGACTATGTATCACAGCCATTACTTGTTTTGGCGGTGAAGGAAAGGATCACTTTCTTGAAAAGCCTGGTCTCCTTTGAATGTCAATATCCTGTTTCAAAGTGAAGAGCATTACTATTAGACCATTTGAGTTCTGGCTTTGCTTTTTGTTGTTTTGTTTGGCTTGAACATTACAAATTGTAATCTTTGATGGGATTTGTGCCAACAATCTGTTTTCTAAATTACTTTTAAAGTTGTATGACAATGTAATAAACTTGGAGTAATAGCTGACAAAATTACTGGAACCAGTTTTCAGTAGAATATAAGTATGTAGGCCTTACCAGTATTAGGTATTGGTGATCAAAAATTAATGTGTGTTACTTGTTACAAACTGACTGTTTTGGATGGAAAGCTAAGTGCAAATGTTCAATGATTTTTAAAACCAACAACAACAAAAACAAACAAAAAACACCAAAAAAACCCACAAAAAAACAAACACAAATTTGGAGCTGGGTTGGAAACAGGTGTGGACAAAAGGAACAAGGAAAGCATTTAACTACAGTTGAGAACTACCTCTGTGCATTTATTACAACTTCTGTGCATTTATTTTCTTTAGGAGGTGATATGAGTGAAGAAGACATGCTTCAAGCAGCCATGAATATGTCTCTGGAATCTGTTAGAAAGCACTTGAATACAGAAGAAGAGAAATGACATAATTTTTTTTTTTCCGCTTTTACTGTCAAAACACTAAGTCTCCATTATAATTTTACTGTGTGGATGTTGCACAAGCAGGGTTCATTTCAGAGTTCTGGAAGCAGGCATGAAAGGGGGACTGGAGGGCAGAGTTTAGAGGGAATCTGCAAATACAAGAAAGATTGCACTAATTTAGAAAACTGTAGCACTCCTACTAGAGAACATCTGTTCACAACAGTAGCTGTATAAAATTACTTAAACTATTCATATGAACAAAGTTAAACACATGTAGCAGGTGTAACTTGAACTTAAAAAGCAAGTTTAAATTGTTTTGAAGAATTCTATAGAAAATACAGAAGGTGCTGAAAACCAGCATCAACTGATTTCCTTCAGTACTAATGGAAAAACAGAAACAAGTAATAAGTTGTGCTCATAAATGACTAAGTTCTTTATAAGAAATCACTTAAAATGGGGAAAAGAATTAAACTGTGTTTATCTTAGATAATTTATTTTGTGATTGTTTATTCTGAATGACAGTGTCAACTTTTTGATCCTGCTGTCCACTTATGAAATGAACCATTCTGCAGGAGAAACATGAATCCATAAATTTCATACTTCGCAATTCAAGAGAAAATCTTCGGTGTATTGTTGATTATGATGTTACTCCTGAACCTTTCTGTGACTTCTGACCTCCTAACACTTTCTGTTTTTACTTTCAGTAGGATTTTTGTATTGCCCTGTTGTCTTTTAACAGGTAACTACTTTGGGTTTTTTATTTGCTTTTGTTCTCTTACGCTCTTTCTAGTTATGTCACTGTCTTTACTATAAAAGTAGCATATAATCAGTTGGCTTAAACAGGTTTTCTTTTCTACCTCTTCTGGAGTATTTTTTTCCTCTTCAAGCTCAACCCCTTCATTCTGGCCTTTCAATATGAAAGAGCTGTAACTGAGTCTGGGAGAAAGGAGGGGCTTTAGGTGCCATGAAGTCAGTGCCACACACATAAGGTGCATCCCTGCAGTCTGAAATGGCCCCTGTATAACTAGCTCTTTTAAGAATGCATATTTATGTCTGTGTGGATGTTCTTTCTGAAATGCTTTTCATAAGTGTCTGTCAGAATGTTGCGGCATTTTCAGGAATGGCCTTTATTCATGCACCTTACCATTTTTTTTATCATGATGTTTCTGATCCTGAGAAAAATTGGGGAGCAAAGTATGTCCGAGAGCTTATGCTGCTGGTTGTAAGACATTTGCTTTGATATCCAGGATGAATGTGTAACAGGGTGACCAAACCTGACTTTCAACTTCAGCGCAACAATTGAGATATGTTTCCTTTTCCTAAATGGTGCTTGAAATACAAGTTCTGTTTACATATATGTAGATAGAGTATGTAAGCTGAGTCCACTTAATGCATTAACAGTTAGCACAGGCATTCGAAGAATTTTTTGAAGATAACCCCAAATTTCTTGATCAAAATATTCTAAAGTTACATCATTGCACAATAGTAACAGTTAATTAAAAATAGTATGAAATGAATGGTGGCTATATGGAAGTATACATTCAGCATCAAGTAGTACTGTACCTGAAAGGGCTCTTACCTCTCAGTAATGATTTGTTTACAGCAATGGTTTCTTGATAGCTTAGGATATTATTATATTATGCATAATTGGGCTAAATTCTGTTTTTGTTCCCTGCGTGCTGAATTTCTACAATGTCACCAGAACCACTGGTATATGTAAGACAATATGGATTTTGACATGAGACATCACTGCTTTTTAAAAACTGATTTTAAATTTTGTCTTTTTTAAATAATCCTGTCATGCACATTATATTTAATTTCTGTGATGTCTCAAATTAATACAGCTAAACAGTGGCTTTAAAAGTCCATGTGTGCATATGCCATTTTGAAACGCTATATTTTTCAGGATGTAAATTTCTGCTTTCAGTTTAAAATTTATATGAAACTGAAAACAGGAGAGGATTCTCTAAAGCACTGAACCATTTCTTTGCTTATCTGTAAGTTATCCACAGCTTTAATTTCCCTTCTTTTGTCATGACATAAAGTGATTCTGAAATAAAACTCACTTTTATAAATACGTATAGGCTGGCAATTTGATACCAGTACTTGGAACTTGGACCTTTTATGTTCTAATATAAGAATATAATAAAAATGTATTATTTCTATACCTATATAGTTTAGCAGCCCTATATTAAAAAAATAAATCTAAGCCCCTTGAATTGCATTAACTGTAACCCGTGACAATTACATGTGTTTATAATCACTAAAGCATGGAGGTTTGAATTTGAACTTTCATGTTGCTTTGTAATCACCCAAGTGTTTTAATATCTAAGGATTATAAAGTAACAATGTCTGACAAGCACAAGTGTGTCAGTCATTACAGGGCTAACCATATTCCTTTCTGTGTAGAAACACTGTTACTCTACAAATACCCAGTTGATTTTCAGAGGAATGTCGAGTTTAATGAAGTAGGTCTATCTGCCTAGTCAAGCAGTTAAGAGGTAGCAGTTTAGGCTATGTATGTTAATTGCACCAAAATAAAAGACTAATACTAATTGCTGACAGTACATATTTTATAACCCAGATCTAAAGTTCAAAATATGTGGACCTACCAAGAAACTGTCAATAAAAAGCCGATCTCATTTTTTGGTGTGCATTCTTTCAGTGATAAACAGTTTCAGTGTGGCTGAACTATGCTTATAAGGCATTTACTAACTTAGAGCCTATTCCTGGTGTTCTGCAATCTGTCAAGCTGAAGGTTTTTTCCCATGTTGTAGCTTTAGGTGAAAGTCCATTGTAAAGGAGCAGAAATTGTGGGTTTTTTTTCATTTGTGTTTGTTTTTTTTTTTTCCTTTATTACAGTATGATATTTGAGGGAATTTCAGACTTCATTCATTCAACAGATTTTTACAGTCTTCCTAACAGTGAAGGGTCCATGTGAAGTAATTCCTGTTTTTATGTGTATAGAAATCAAAGGGGTAGGGTGAATAAGTGATACTTACATATATTCCAAAATTAGTTCTGTAAATATAAATCTGTGAACTGCTTTCATGGTTGTGTAATGAGGGGAGGAAGAAAAAGTGTTTTAATGCAGTCATGCTTGAATGCAATTCTTGTTAGGCACAGCAGGTATAAATAGGAGCTGTTTAAATGCTCACAGGTTTCTGGGCTTGAAACTAATCTGATACAATACTGGTTTACTCTCCAACATTTGGGCTCCTTGTGCCCTTCAAACAACTTCAGCAAGTTTAAATCTAATTTTCAGCTAAGGTACTCTTTATTTTTCATAATTGCTTTACAGACTACGTAAAAATAATCCATACAAAGTTAAATCTCCAGTGGGTTTTAATGTTGGACTATTGCATCTATTACAAATCTGTAAAATGGTGGGGAGTTTAAAATGGCTTGTGCACATGTCTAGTAAACAATTCTATTTCTGTATGTCAGAAATACTGTCATTTGCAAGCTGCTTTGTTTTATTACCAAATTGACTATTAGGCTTTTAAAAATTAAGAAGAATGTTTTACAGTTCTAAAATGTCTGTGAAATTTTCTAGAATTCAGTTGTTGTTTCAAATTAATGATGAAAACATAAATGGTGGCCTTTTTACTGAGAAATATTATGGGGAACGGGATTGGAGAACTCTAGAACTCAGAGTTACAAAGAAGTATTACTGTACAATTCATGTTACCAGCACATACTTTTAAAGGAATCAAAGAATCCAAGGAAAAGAAAAGTTTAAGTGGAAACTTTTTTCAAGGGCTTAGATATAAAATTATGTTGCTCACTTGGTAAGCCATTACTGTCTTACATAAAACAAACTTAACTCCTGGGAAATTGTCATAGTTACTCACAAATAATTTAAAAAAAATTCCAACAGGTAATACATATATACCCATTCCCGACATACACAGAATCAGTTGTTCAAGTAAGAACAATACTTAGTACGTTTTAACTGGTCCAGTCCAAATATCCAGTTCTCCAGTTTCAAATTAGTAGCTTCTTTGTGTTGTATCCAGGTTTGCTTCTTAAAAGCATGAGCTGTGTTGCAATAAGCTTTAACCTGCATACACACATTTTGCCTTATTTACATTTCAGACATGGAGGGAATGCTCTAGTATTTAACCTGTCATAGTCACCTCCTTTCCCAACCATAGTTCTTCAGAACGTTGACGTACAGGTGACTTTTCAACTGCTTTTACCGAATCAAAATTGTTTTACTTTATTTTCTTTGTTACATTTAGAGACTTTTTTTTTTATATCCCCCTGCCAGCATAGCAACTGTGAATTCAGAAGGGGAAACTTATAAAAGGGTTTGAACAGAAAGGGATGTAATATTGAAATGCCACTGCACAAAAAAAGGAGAAAAACCTTGATACTGCCTTTAAAGCATGCAAGCATTGATATATTTTTTTTGCTACATGAAACCTCATGTGTACAAAACAGTGTAGAGTTAGGATTTTGTAAAGGAATAATTTTTTTTATCTCTTGCCTAATAGCTGTGTATTTTAAAAATCACTTCCAGTAATAGATTTTTTTTGTCTTGAGACTGCTTTCAGTATCATGTCTTCAGCTCTGGATTCCTATACAATTTTTGTCTCTATTTTGTGTATATAAAGCATATAATACTGAAAAGATTAAAAAAAGGAAAGCTGAAATGCTTTGTCATTGTTTTGACTGGAAAATGGCAGTGCTGTTTGATATTTTGAAAATGCTCTCCAAATAGGCACAAATATATATGGTTGTATTTGATATCATTTTTTAAAATAAATATGATTATAGCTTCTAATGTTTTTCTCTTGACCCGAGTATTTGCATATGTGCTTTCCCTATATGTGGATTGGGCACAGAACCATCAAACATTAAAACCTCATCTTTGATATCAGTGGGCTTTGCACCAGATGTTGTGTATATGCATTAGCAGTGGGGTGATTTTCTGTTGTTTATAACTGACATTTTGTAATCTCTGATGTTTTTTCATCTGTTGATACCCTAAAATTTAT